TTCTGCAGAAAAAAAAATTGAAAAATAAATTTAGCAGATATTTAATAATTTTTTAAAAATTAAAAAAAAAAAATTGACATGTAAAAATTTTAAATAAAAAATGCTTTTTTTTAAAATTCATTTTTTTCAACAAATTTTTTTGATAAAAAAAATTAAAAAATTCTCAAGACTGCTAACTTTAATGTCATGAAAAATTACAGTTTCAAGTGCAATTAAGTTTAAAAATTAAATTTTTATAAAGTTTATTTATAAGCTGTAAAATTATAAATAAAAAATGTCATTTTATTTTATTTTATAAAAATCTAAATTTTTAGTTTTTTATTTAAAGCTCTTTTTATTGCAACAGAAACTGTAATTTTTTAATTATTCTTTTTTGAGTCTTTTAATAAAAAAAAATTTTTTTATATTTAATTTTCAGTAAAAAAACATTTGTTATAATTAAGAAAATTCTTACAAGACAAAATGATACTTTTGATCCTTAGATTTAAAATGTTTCAAGCCGAAAAATTAAGTTACAAAAAATTCTACAAAAATTCTTTTTTAATGAATTAATTATTAAGAAAAATTTTTTTCTTTTTAATTTCCAATGAAGCAACTTGTTATAATTAAGAATATAAAATTATTACAAAATGATAATATAATTTTGATCCTTAGATTTAAAATTTTTAAGCCAAAAAATTGAGTTACAAAAAATTCTCTTTAAAATAATTTTTTAATTAATTAATTATTGAAAAAAAAAAATTTTTTTCTTCTTAATTTTCAGTGAAGAAACTTTTTATAATTAAGAATATAAAATTATTACAAAAAAAAAAATGATACTTTTAAAGCCGAAAAATTCTACAAAAATTCTCTAAAATAATTTTTTAATTAATTAATTAATTATTAAAAAAAAATTTTTTTTCTTTTTAATTTTAATCAAAAACATTTATCCTGAATTAACTAATTTTTTTTCAGGCTAATTAGCAAAAAATTCAAGTGAAGAAATTACTTAGGATGATTATTTTGATATATAAATTAAAAAAGAAGATATAAAAACATGTAAGTTTTATTACAATGACAGAATAATGAATTTTGGTGATTATAATTATAAAACTGATGATATAAAAAGATGAAAGCTTCTAATTATCGTAGCTAGACGATAAAAAATACAAATGTACATAAGTATATAAAATATATGGGATATTTTGAAAAAACCTTGAAAACAGTTGGTAGGTGCCCTTACACCTGCGTGGCTACCGTGGCTAAAACTCTTACCCTATTTCATGGACAGTGAGCGTGGGAGTCCCAGAAGTAATCGGGCCTCACGCCGGTTTTCAGCCCAATCATAATGATAATCATAACTATAATGGTCATGTATAATTCATAATTGGTATTTACCGCAAGGTAGGTTTAATTTATTTTTGGGAGTAAAGGCAACAGGTTGGACGGTGAAAGGTATAGTAGAAAGAAGGTGGCTAATGGAAATTTTTTAGAGTTCTAGGTTTAGAGCACCGAATAAAAGCGAGGAATTCAACGAAATGTTGATTAAACGAATATGTTGGGCCTTATATTAATATAATAAACTAGTAAAGTTTATATGTATCAGCTGGAGAACAGGTGGAGTAGGCACGCGCCAAACCGAAACGGACGCGACACAGCTGCTCAAGACACAGACGGTCTTCTGGTACTTGAGACTGTTCTGGTTCTGACATTAAAAATTTTAAAAAGAGGATTTTGTTTTTACTTTCGTTGTAAGCTCAACATGTAAATGGGCTTAATAAGAGTACTTGCCAGTTTTTATGGAAATAAATAAATAAATAGATCGTTCGAGGAAAGCAAGAAATTGTTTTATGGCTTCACGGGTTTTTTTTTAAATATTCACATTCAAGTTAAGTAAATAAGTTTGTTTTATCTGGAGTAAATATAATATATTTTGCTTCATTTGATGTAAGCTCGATTTTGAGAAAATTTTTTTTTAATTGTTCTTTTTTATTTTGAGAATTTTAATGTTTAGGCTTTTACTTGTGAACTGTAAATAATTAAAGATTTTGCTTTAGTAAATAATGAATTTTGTTGAATTGCACTGTACTTTCTTAAATATTGACGTTTTTAAATATATAAGCTCATTAAGATGTTACACTCATCAAGAGCTTTCATTTGAGTACCCACATGCATTTTTGATATATTTTTATATATTCATATATA